GTGATTTTCTCGCCGGTGTCCTCACCGTCCCCGCCACACCGTTCTACACGAATATCGGCCGTAGCCGAGGCGGCAGCTTCCACCTGCAGATCGCCTCGGGCATCTTAGCCATCATCTCGGCCGTCCTCGTCGGTGCAGTCTACATCATCTACTGGAAAGGCCCGCAGCTGCGTCTTGCTTCGCCCTTCGCTCAGAGTTTGGCGCACCAGGCCTCGGCCACCGCTGACCGTCGGAGCATCAGCACTGCCGGTGGTGGCCGTCATGGCAGCATCGCGGTGGACCGCCCTGACCCAGCCATCTACCGCCACCGTAACTCGAGCCGCATTAGCCACATCGACGACAGCTGGAGCCGGCGCTCAAGCTACATGGGGAGCGCGGGGAACAGCCGACGCAACAGCTTCGTCAGGACGCCTGGCGCCAGCAGGCCGGGCAGCGCACGCAACAGTCTGCATCTGCAGTCGGAGCCGACGACGCCCGTGGGCCACACGGCGGGACGGCCGAGGCTGGGACCGCGCGTGGGAAGCTATGGCTTTGGTCCGACGCCGAAGCAGAGGGGTCAGGCGGCGCGGGAGAACAATGATTTGATTCGGGAGACGACACTTGATGTTTGAGTGGTTGGTCTCTGTGTTAGATTACATAGACAGCGATGTCTTGTTTATTGTACATTTGCATAGGAGTCTTGGTGCAGAGCATATAGACAGCATCTGTTAGACTTGGCATTGATTTAGGAAATTGCATAGCAATTAGACTTCTGCTGTCTTTTGGATTTGAGCAAGAACAGCTCAACATGTAGCTGCCATACGCGATGCTACCACGGGCTTCCTCCGTCTCGAGAGCCTAGCATTTCCGCCAACCCCCCACGCTCCCTCTCAAAGTTGCAAGTGGCGGATGCGGCACGGGCAGTCCGGCCAGTCCCAGTCCATCCAATATCGCTCGAAGTGTATGCTGTGATTGCTGCCCGGACACATGATCACCTCGAAGTCGAAGACGTTGAGCATGATACCGCATCTAAGGCAGATGAGGTCCAAAGTGATGTATACACACATCTTGACCAGTGTGCCTGTGCTCTGTTCAGTGGTCCATTATATAGAGGCTATCGGATGTAAAGATTATCAACCGTCGTGCCGCTAAATCTATTCCGATCGTATTGTTTTCCTTCTAAGCTCTACGCCTTAGATACTGCGACACTTGCCGAAGACTGGGTAGTGATGAGTGAGTCAATCAGCCCTGGGGGAGTGAAATTATTCGTGTGAGCACTTACAATCCCAAACATTCACATGGATGCTTGTTGCATTCTATCAACTGAGGCTCGCGTCGAAATCGAAGAGGACGACTACAGTTGTCACAACATTCTGTTTCGAGGACCCACTGGCACATGTCTCTCCTGCTGTTGCTGCTACTATAGTTCCGATAGCTAGATTTGGTACAATATATGTATCGACAAAAGTCAAATATGATCCGCATTTAGGAGCTTTTATAGAGGTCTAAAATATTTGATGATGAGCTCACCGAGTCTTAATGATACGCTCGATGGAACCAGTGTCACAAGAAGTAGTACAATAAATCAGACTTCTTCACCTTTGGTAGTTTGCGTGTCGCCTTGGCCATTTTGTTGCACCAAAAACACACGCGAGTATCGATGATCCTCGCCTCAGCTACGATGACGGTGATGTTGAGCAACGCTTTGATTCGGGGTCTTTTCTAATTTATACCATCTATAGTAGCAACATCACAATCGCTTGCAACCGTAAAGCAATAAACCAGCTAACGCCTCCTGTCAAATCAACACCATCCGGGAACAGGTAATCTAATAACACGAAGCCACTCCCCTTGAGCTAAATACAATCATGAGCAGGGCAAAGACCACACACGCGGTCTAATGCGAGATGTACTGGAACACAGCCGACACCTCAGACTCTCCGCACTCCTGTCTCAACAGCAAGTCCTGGATGGGCTGAAGGCCCTCGTTCACAAAATGGTTCCATGTACTCGTGTCACCGTAAAGCATTGCCGGCGCCTTTAAGAATTGTTTGCCGTCTGGCTTGCACCTCTTACACTTGAACGTGTCGTGGGTATCGCTCTTCGTGTCTCCGCGGTACTGGAATAGCTCGCGCAAGCTGTCCAGGGAAAAGTGGCGCTCGACATCTTCGGCCGAGTCGACGACGCAGGATGACAGCGACTGCTTGTGACTCTGACGCTGGAAGATCTTCTCCTCGATCGTGCCCGTCGCAATAAAACGGTACACGAAACAGTCCTTCTTCTGTCCATCACGCCACACTCGAGCAAGCGCCTGCTGATCGGCGGCTGGATTCCAGTCAGGATCGAAAAGCACCAAGCGATTTGCTCCAATGAGATTCAGACCGCATCCACCGGCTTTGCTGCTCAGAAGGAACACGAACTCATCGCCTTCAGGGTCGTTGAACTTGTCTACGAGCTTCTGACGCTTGTTGACATTCATGGTGCCATCCAGACGGAGGCAGCCATACTGGCGATTGCGGCAAAGACGCTCGAACAGATCGAGTGTAGAGGTATAGTTGGAAATGAGCACAATCTTGTCGTTGGTGTCAGCGCGAATTCGTGCAAGCATACGGTCCAGGACCTGCATCTTGCCACTGTACCACGGCTTGATGTCCCGATCACGACCTCGAGCCTCTTTTGGAACGTAATCATCCGGGAAGTGCTTCTCAGAGCCCGGCAAATCCTCGGATAGATTGAGAAGGTCGGGATGATTGCAGAGTTTCTTGAGCATGCCAATCGCCTTCAGCGGCTGGCTACCCTTTCCACGAAGCAGAGCTTGGATGTCTGGACTGGTGATGAAATAATTGTACAAGTCTAGTTGGAATGGAGCAAGGTTGCAGAAAACGACATGCTCATACTTGACTGGCAGATACTTGGACAGGATATCGTTCGTGCGGCGGATGATGAACTTGTTGACGATGGCCAAGAGCTCGACCAGGCACTCATCGCCTTTCTGGCGCTCATTGTCGGTTGCATCAGCATCTCGGCCACGCAAGATGGGTATCTCAAAGCGCTTCCGGAACTCCAGCCTGGTGCCCAGAAGATCCGGATTTGCAAAACTGATGAGCGAAAAGTATTCGGATAAATCATTCTGGATAGGTGTACCGGAAAGAATGACACGTCTTGAAACATTCAGGTTGTTTAGGGCGGTGAATGTTTGGCTGTCTCCGTTTTTTAGCCGATGGCCTTCATCGCAAAGCATCAGGCCAATTTGAGTGTTCTTAAGCTCCTCGACATTCAGGCGGAGTGTCTCGTAAGAGACGATGATGACCGGTCTTGTAACTGAGCGGCCGCTGGCGATAGCCCATTGACGGAGCTGGCGTGTTAACTCCTCTTTCGAAGCCTTGCCATCAATTGCAAACGGCGTAATGGCATCAGCGCCCAGCCATTTGGTTAACTCATTGGCCCAGTTTCGGACCAAACTTGACGGACAGGCAACAATCGCCTTCTGAATGCTCGTCTTTCCAGCATCTGGAGATTGCTTCAGAAGGGTCCAGAGGAGGGTAATGCATTGCAGTGTCTTTCCCAGACCCATCTCATCTGCCATGATGCAGCCATTTGCCTTCTCGTCGATCATGCCCGTCACACATCTATACATGAACTTCACTCCCTCAATCTGATGCGGTCGTAAAACCTTTGCAAGCCTGGGATCGATGACCACAGGCACTCGCGGGTGTTCGCCCACGACTTTCTTCTTGATGCCCAGGATCTCAGCTAAGCTCTTGTGCATAAGCGGGGCGTCTAGCTTCGCCTCGGGCTCCTTCTCTTTCTCCTCTTTGGGCTTCTCGGCAATCTTGGGCTTGTCATCAATGGTCGGATCGTATAGAACAATGGCAAATTCGCCACTGGGATCATGTAGAGGCTTGGCGACGAACACTGCTCCCTGTCTCAAACCGAGAGTTGGAGGTGGCCTGTTGGGGTTGTAGGCAGTGCTGTTCTTGTTGATGAGAGGGATGGAGAATGCTTTGCGAAACATCTTGTCCTTATCCTTCACCTGAAAGACCGGAAATTTATTGGCATCCCGGTTGGCGAGAGCGAGCCGGTCAGCATTGGTGTATGGCTTGTCTGCATCGGCATCAACATTGCCGTCAGCGCCTTTGTAATCGACCTTTCTGCGCTTTCGAGCAGGACGATCTGCGGCTGGAGTTCGGTTCGCAGCTCCGGGGCACTTGAACGGCTTGTGCAGGCGATCAAGCGACTGTGGTGTTGGAAATCGGCTGCGAGGGATATTCTCCTTGTTGGCGATCGGTGTTGAGGTAACCGAAGCCCTGGAGTAAGTCATATTAGCAATGAGTAGAATTGGAAACTCCGATTCAATATCGCTGTGTTCTACTCACATTTTACCACAATTTCCGTCCGCAACAGCTCGCTTTCTCTATGGTGTATTTCCGTTGCGAGTGGCAAAGGAGGCGGATTTCTAATCGTTTGTTGACTTTGGGGCATGCGCGACTGCCAGACGCGTCTGCCTCACGAGGGTCTCCACGCTATCATATGACTAAGCACGTGACCAATCTAGTCGTAAGTGCCTGTGAGAAATGATGCATCTCTATAGCAATTATTTATGGTCTTTTTTGGGATTTCTTTTGGGACACTGAGGCAGCTTATTCAACACTGCCTACATAGAATTGTCCTAGAATCAGGTCTTGGCACTGCGTTTGTTGCCGTGATCTACGATGTGATCTCCTGTTGCTACTAATTACTCCCCCAAGCCCCTCCTCCGCCCTCATTGACGATAAGCCCCACCACCCCACTATCAATGGCTCCGTCTCTTGACCTCGGTCGAGACCAGTGTCTCTTTGAAGGAGATACAGAAAAGGCCATGCAGGGGTCCAGTCATGATCCGTGATATTCAGCTTCCCTTGTCGCCTAGGTAATATCTAACAACATTGGAGCCAGTGCTCGTTTCAGCGTGCAACGACCGCCAGCGAGGACTCAGAAGGGACATTGATGGCTGTGGAGGAGCAGGCGGTACTCTACCGGTCGCCATAACCTCATTTCAAGTCCATGCTTTGATCAGGTTATCATGTCTGCTGACTTCTGGGCCGGCTATATCTCCGGCGCTGTCGGTATCCTGATCGGCAACCCATTGGATGTTCTCAAAGTGCGTCTGCAAGCTGGTTCATCCAGCCCTGCCGTGCGCAGCTCTTCCAACACTATCGCTTCTGCAGCAAGACAGTTCGCAACTGGTACTGCGGCACCAGTCTTAGGGTGAGCCTACTTGCGCTCTTGTACCACTGTTCATTTGCTAAAACTCCATCTCAAGCTATGGGGCGCTCAATGCTTTACTCTTTGTCAGTTACAATCGGTCAGAAGCGTTGCTAAACTCAACCTTGAATGCTCCTCCGCACACCACAAATCTATGGACTACTTGGCTAGCGGGTGCTGTCGGCGGACTAGCAACCTGGGTTGTATCAACGCCCACAGAATTGATCAAATGCCGTGCACAACTTGCGTCACCACCAATATCAAGCTTGGCTATCGCAAAGCAGGTATGGCGGAAAGAGGGTATCAAAGGCTTCTACTTCGGTGGTGTCGTCACGGCACTACGGGATAGCATTGGATATGGTTTTTACTTTTGGAGCTATGAGCTGAGTACCCGCTGGCTGGCCTCGGCCGATCCGTCTAAAAAGGAGAGTGAGTTCTCAACAGAAGCGGCGAAGGTATTGCTGTGTGGGGGCTTGGCTGGCATCGTCACTTGGGCGAGTATTTTCCCTCTTGATGTGATCAAGACAAGGGTTCAGACACAAGTTTTTGAGAGTGCAACAGAAGGACGGCCGCTGCTCACGGGTAGTCAGGCAGATAGACGGTTAGGCGCAATCGATATTGCGCGGGAAGCTTATAGAGAAGGCGGCATCAAGGTATTCTTTAGAGGCTTGGCTGTCTGCAGTATACGGGCATTCATTGTAAATGCCGTGCAGTGGGCTGTTTATGAGTGGATCATGATTGAACTTGGACAAGGTCGCAAGAAAGGTCTTGTGGTTGAATAGATCTGAGGACAAATGTATACATTATAATACAATACTCTCTCACCTGGTGTAAGTCTATGGATGTCATGGGCTACAGTACACATGATTATACGGCTTGACTGAATCACACCTTTCCATCATTTGCACTTCTAGTTGAAGGACAGAAGTTGGTGTTGGTCGACTGAAGTTGAAATCATAACATAGGAAGTTAAACGAAGAAGATAAGAAAACATCGCCTGTACCAGCCCTGTCCTGTTTCAACCATCGCAAAGTGGAATGGCCCTTTCTCGCAACTCCATTAGTTCTTACGCCATGTACCGTTTCAAATTACTGTAGCTTGTGCATTCCGATGACCAATGAAACTTGGCCGTTGACCAAGTCATCAAAATAGTGGCTAGTTGGAGGTATTGCAGGTGCTGCAGCTAAGCCAGCCGTCCACCCTATACTGACAATCTGATCCCGCCAATGATTCCATGATAAGTCAGCGGTGGGTAGATCGTCCAGGGGGAGTTCCTGGTCATTGACGCCACTCACGGCAATGCCAGAGTCCGAGGGGTAGTCGCCATTGAAAATTACTTTGGTCGAGGCAGGCCGTCAGTAAGTTAAATTGTTGTTCAGTAGATGGGAACCAGATTCTTTACACTTAATCTTCTCACCGATGGCTGAGGGTGCCCTCCATATCTCTGCTGTGAAAGGATTATTTGTCGAAGAGGCAGTGTCACTTCATGCATATGGTAACAATGGGGGACCACAATGGTTCTTCATTTACACAGGAAAGCCTACCAGGCATTCTTTCTCAGGTCAATGTCCCTTTCTCGTCGCCTGTCATCCTGTGAACCCACACACTACGGCATCCTCACTCAAGCTACTGATCTCGTATGTACTAGAAGTCCTCGAAAGCGTACGAAGCTGAAGTCGGAGGGTCAGGACATCACATAAAAAGGGAATCGGGGAATGGGATAAAATTTTGTCTATATTCGGGGCTTTGTGTCATGACGGAGCCAAAGTAGCCAGCGAGAAGTGATCAAGGATGCTAGCAGGAGCCACACCCATCATATTGCCAACCGCCCCTGTCCAGTTCTCAAAATATCCGCCCCTATAGTAATGTACATGAAGCAGGGGATTATCAAAGCAAGTATAAAGCCGGGTATCCATCCGTGGATGCCAAATATGTGCGTGAAAAACGTCCAATGACCAGCGCTCATGTCCATACCATACCAGACACGGTCACGAGACCATTGCCGGATTAATGTAATTGTTTTTCGTGTGATTCATCTCTCGTTCCTTAAACGCCAAGGGTGATATGCAGTCGTGAGAAAAGGGGGGAAATGATGCAAAGGGGTATCTCTTGATGAATCATGACCATGACCGTCAGTCCCTTGAGAGGGTGATCGGAACAAGGAGAAAAAGACATGCCGAGAAGAGGACAAACAAAGTCCTCTCAAAACGCCGTGCTGGCCTCCCTTGCCATTCGCCACATATGCGTACATGACATCGCCCATCCAAGACACTTGAACCACCAGATTAGTGAGATCCAACATGTCTCTCCGATGTGTCAGACGTCAAAACGAGTGTTAAATCGAGCTTCTTTTTTTTGTGAATTTATTGTACCAAGATTAAGAAAAGTCGTTCGTGTCGGCAACCAAATCGGTTCATGTCGCCGGTATAAGAAAAGGAGATCAAGGAAATATCATAATTCTTCCAAGTGATTGTCGTCAGTCGTCAGAGGTAGTAATCGAGTCCTAGAAGGGTGGTGAAAAAACATGCCATCATCTTCAGCGGTGGCAAAGGACAAAGGCATTAAACCGTCGGTTTCATAAATGACTGCTCTTGGCTCGGATCAGAGGAAGACAAAAGCAATGTTAATCTGGAGACCCAGTACAAGGGGTCCGTTAAGGTTGATGAGAGCTCAGAACGGTAAGAATCGGTGGTGTTGCTCCAAAGAGAGAATCGCGAGGTTGTGCTAACACGAAGCCTCGAAAAGATCTAAGCGACCAACGGAGTGGTGTAGAAACCAAGTAGTTCCTCGGCGACTGGATCAAGTTCGATGATGCGAAATTTGGTGCCCCATTTCTGCTTGAAGCTCTGCTCGCGCCAGGAATAGGAGATGCCCTTGCGCCAGGCAATCAGCTCGACATTCCAACCTCGCTCAAGCGCTCGCTCAACGTTCTTCTTGAATCCGTCCGAGTACTCGGCCTCGGCGGCGTCTCCAGTAGCCAAGACCATGGTGGAAGGGTTGTAGTCCAGAATGCTTTGTGCAATCTTGAGATGAAGAATTTCGTCAACGCCCTGTTCTCCATGCTTGAGGGGATAAGGCCGCTTCGTGGCGCCCCGAGTGTCATCGGAGGAGTCAGCGCCGGAGGTAGTGTCATACTTTCCACGAGGGCCCTTGCGCTTGGGAGTCTTGGCAACGCGTTGCAAGATGTTCATCTCGTATCCACACTGTTGAGCCTCGAGCATGTATCCAGGCCAGGATCCCCAAGTATTGACGACGGATCCAGCAAGGACTCGCTTGGCCACATCTCGGCCACGCTCCAGAAGCAATGCGAGGGCTTCGAAGAGGAAAGGGGGTGCTTTAACCTTCTGAGAAGATGGGAAGCCACGCTGGGCCTTGACACAATCATAGAAGCCGATGACGATGTTGGAAAGGTCGACAAAGACATGGATGGGGTCTCTTAGGCCGTCCAATTTAGTGAATAGAGATCGGTCCAAGGTGTACTCTTCCAGAAGCTCAGCCTTGAGAACGGCGAGCTTTGTCGGCTTCGGCAGGTGATAGAGGGGGTTGATTATGTCCATCGGAGGAGGCTTGGGGCCGATATGATGTCCGATTCCATCAGACCAAGGCACGATGGCCCCATGAGGTCGGGAGTCGTGGAGCTGAGGAATTTTAGACCAAGGAACAGAGAAGATGAACTCTTGCGCAAAGATGCTATTGAGCACTCTGGTCTGAGCGCGTACAATTCGCTCTTGCTGGGCAATCTGCATGGCATAGTAGGCCTTGACGCCTTCGTTCCATCCAGGAGTAGCGTCGGCCTTGGCGTTCGTATAGGCGCAAGCGTAAGCGTGAAACTCGGGGTCGTTATCGGTCTCGGGCGTAGCAACTGGCTTGCCAGTGTATTTGGGGATTTTGGGAGCTTCATTGTGAAGGGTATCCTTCTGAGCAGATTGTGAATCGTTGTTCACAGTCTTCTCAGAGGAGGACGGCGGGCTGGAGGCGGGTGTAGAGTAAGCCTCAGCAGCAGCGGAGGAGCTCGACTTCTGTGCTGACTGCGCGTCGATCGAGGAAGGCGAGACAGGCTCGACTTTGTTGGACTTGATCGGGGAGGCAAGCTTGGAGAGGTCCAGGCCATCGAGAAATCGAGGGGTAGTGTAGGTCGTCTCGGGAAGCAGAGGTGACGTGGGACGTGAGGGTAACTTGACGGGAAGGTCAGGCAACTTCGGTTTCGAGTTCAGGAAGAAGCCCATGTCGAAGATCTTGGAGAAGTCACCCAGTTTGGGCGAGGGAGAACGAGGAGGAGGAGCGGTAAACCCGCCGACCTCCAGGACTGTGACGGTCGCCATCTTGAATCACCGTGGGCTGAGTTTTGACGAGCGCGCTCGCGAGGTGACGAATTGGCCGGAGGCAAGATGTCGAGTGAATTGGAGAACGCCCTAGCAGACGCAATTGATCATCGAGAGGACGAAGGGAGAAAGGGGAGAGAAGAATTGCGAAGGAGGAGGAGGAGGAGGAGGATGAGTTCATGGGGATTTTGTGTGGTTGTGGTTTGAGGGTGAGGGAGGGAGGAAGGAAGGGAAAGAAAGCGGGTTGCAAGTTTGGGATGTGGTAGATGGTGGAAATGGGAGGTAAGTGAACGGTGTGAGTCGCATCTCAACTTTTAGACTTCGAGATCGCCGCCACTTCCGCCGTGGGGCAGTCAGTGTCGATTCCCTAGCTCCCGCACAGGCCAACTGCCTTGCCTTACCCCTCGGTACTCATAGTGCGTATAGTGGCCCAACGTGGGGCCAAGCAGCACCTGCAGATTGGAAAATGGGGATGCCTTCGTTAGCTCACCCGGCTTCCGACTAAAAGCATCGATGCTAATTGGCTGATCTACTCTTCTATGATCCCTTTGTGCTTGTTGTGGTCATCGCCCCTTTCCAAGATCGAGCACAGGGCAACGTTGTCAAATAGAGCCCTAGTCAGTGAAGTGCAGCTGTTCCAAATCTCAAATACTATCGTAGATTTATCGTAATCATCCGAAATAACTCTATGGTCATTCAATACAACACCAGTCCCCAGCTCTTCCCACCTTCCGTGCTCTCGGGACAATACCGAACCCAATGACTTATCTCAAAAGTGGTTCGAGTGACGGTAACGGTTGAAGAGAATACATCACAAGAGTGGCTTATTTGTTAAAGTCTTGCTAAAGAATGAACATGATAGCAGTTAGTCCTCTATGATGCATGCTCAATGATATACAGTCAAGGTCCATCAAGCGATCCAGCAACCATCACAATACGGTGTGATTCTGAAACCATAATCTCCCGTGCAACTGGCATCTGTTTGATCGGTTCAGCAACCGGCGTATCAGTAAGCCCCTACCGAGAGAGGCGGAATGCGCCTGATCTGACGCACCAACCGGCCTTTGCATTAAGCAAAACAAACCCTTAAACAATTTTCCTTGACTCCAACATGTACAATCCTACAATAATCATAACCTCAGACCAGAGACGCCTGGGTATATCCATCAAGCTCTGTCGTGACCGATCCCAGTGAATTGGGATGCAGGAGATCTTCGACATAATCACTATGGTCTAGAGTGCCTTGCCGTTCTCTATTACTCCCTTCTTCTCTTTAAGCCAGGCATCTCTCTCGGCTTTGAACGGTGTCAATTCTTCCTTTAGGCGATCTGTCTCTGCCATGTGGATAGCAAGCCAATCACCAATGGCATTGCCGGCGGCAGCATATAATTTCTGCTCTTCTTCCTCTCGGCGCGTTCGTAGGTAGGCGACTTTCTTGCGCTGGGCTTGCTCGCGGGAGTCCTCCTTCTCCTTGCGTTTCTTCTCGCGCTCCGCATGACGCTTTTTCTTGTCTGCCAGGTAGGCGACGCTGTGGCCGAGACCAGCATGCTCCTGGGAAACACCCGGGTGTGGGCGATTGAGAGGTGGCGCAGTGAAGAAGAGAACACGACCCTGGTCGTCGCGTTGGAACTGGTCACGGACTTCGGGCGGAATGCTTGCATCTAGGCCATCTGGAAGGGTATACACCTCAACTGGGCGCGGAGGGTTATATGCATTGGTATGGCCAATGCTTGCGGGCGCAGGAGCTGGCATACGTTGTGGGGTCATGGCAGCTGGAGTGGGCGCCATGCGATGGTGGTCGTAGGCCATTGCATTTGGCATCTGCTGATGGTGGCCAACGGGTGATGGTGCTGGCGCATATGGTTGATGGTAGCCTTGTGGAGCATATTGGGGAGTTGGGGGCATCTGAGCTGGGGAATGCATCTGATGCGCAGCCATGGGCTGAATCTGCACAGGCGTTGGAGGAGTGGGCGTTGGACGTGGTGGCGCAAAATGAGATTGGCCATACTGGGCTGCTGAAGGTGAAGGGGGGACTGGCGCCGCGTGTTGGAAAGCGGTAGCGGGAGAGCCAGACATGCTCACGTCCTGCGTCGATTGACGACGAAGAGCAGCAGGGGGAATTACTGGAGGCTCAGGAGTAGGTTCTGGGGGAGGAGATTCCTATTTAAAGGGGAAAATGTTAGTCTCGGATGCGCGCAAACGTGCCTCTCATGCTATGCAGGATGATGGAAGAGGTGTGTTTGTGTGTCGGAGGAAAATGATTCCTTTTGACCAAAAATAGCTGAGAGAGGGGGGTATTGAGAAGATGGTGGTGGGATGGATGGTTAAGCGAAATATCGATAAGAACTGATGGGAAACAGAGCGACATTGAAACTTCTCTGAGATGCAATGCGTGGGATACTTCCAAATCAAAGACCCATTTGCAAGAAATAGACAAACTTACATTCGCTTCTCTAGGCCGACGATGAACGGCGCCGATGATGGGTGGTGCATTCGGGCTGCCCCAGGTGGGTTTCGGGAGAGGGTCGGTCTCTTTCGCATCTGACTGCAGAAGATGCTTGATTGGACTGGGCACCTTTCTCACTTTGTGAGGGGGATCGAACAGATCCATCTCGTAGTCCTTCTCTCGCACCTCGTCCGGAACGCAAGATGTCCAAGTCTTGATCTTGTTGAACTTGTACTTCTCCTCATTGTAGCGAGCTTCGCAGACGTAGACGTCCTTGTCGCGAGGGAAGCCTCGAGGACGGCCTTTATGATACCGAGTGATGAACATGACGAAGCATCGGTCCTTGATCTCCTCAACTCGGTGGTCACGATACTGGCCAGTCTTGACGACCTCATTCTCGAAGAAGTGCTTCTCAAATCGGTGAACCGTCTGCTCTGGACGGTAATACCAGCAAGCATTCAACCACTTCTGGCCCGACTCGTCCTGCCAGAGGCGATAAATCTGAGCTACGATCGGCTTCGTGAGGTCGTTTAAGTTGTTGATATGAACCCAGTCACCAACCTTCCAGGTCTCTCCGTCATATTGGACCTCCGCAAGAGGAAGCTTGCCATCGTCGTCACGGAAAGCCTCATCAGACTTTGCCTTCTCCTGCTCAGCCAGAATATGTGCCTGCTTCTGCAACTCCTGTGCATCTTCGTAAATCTCGCTACCCTCCTCATTATACTCAAGGGCATTCTTGAACATGAGGTCAACGTCTATCATGACCTCGTCAACGCTGCGATACTTCTTGCGCTTAGCCTTCTTTTTGATCATGTCCAATGCGATGGGATTTTTGATCGTTGCATAATAATCCTTATGAACAAGCTTGTCTGGGAGTTTCTCGAATGGCACAATGCGAAGAGATCCGTCGTCATTCTTGAACTTTCGCAAACCTTTCAAGACGGCATTGATGCGAGCTTCCATAGGCGTGAAGACCTTGGGAGGCCGGCCGCGCTTCTTGTGACCGTCTTCGTCGTCGGCGTCCTTCCTGCCAGACGATGGGCGGCCCCTTCTGCTTCTACGACGGCGATGTCCGTCCTCATCGTCGGAGTCATCATCGTCTTCGTCGTCCTCATCGTCCTCTTCGTCCTCATCAATATCTTCCTCATCCTCAGCCTCGGGTGGCGGCGAGTCCTCGACGGGGGGGAGCTCGCCGAAGTCGGGAAGTTCGGCTTCGCCTGCGGCAACGGTGCCATCCGCGATAAGCTCCTGTAGCTTCTCTTTAAATACCTCGCGCAATCTAACCGCATATTGGAAGATTGGTGCAGATGGACGGTTGTAGACTTGCGCATTGTGGAAAATCAATGCAACATCTCGGACAAACTCGGCGAAGTTTGCATAACCTTTTCGAACGCATTTACCCTATATTCCCAGTCAATTTTTTTACTCATTTCCATTCATCTTTCCGAAGCTCCTCCTGGCGCAGACTTACTCGGATGGTGCTGAATGCGATCGGCTCGGAGATGACATCGAAGTAGTCGGGGAGCAAGCGCTTGTTAGGAAGACGCTGAAATCCAGCCGCAATCTCTTCACCACTACGCAAGATGGTCAGCATCGCATTGTCAAGTTCAACGGCTTCTTGAGGTGAGGCCCCCAAGGAAGTGCAGGCGCAGATACGTACTCTTCAGTGTAGTTGCAAAGGTAGTTCGAGGTGTTCTCGATGACCTGCACCAGATCTCTAGGGCCTTTGCTCGAGCGCGACGGCGCAGCATCGTCAGGCTCGCCGTCGGCATCTTCCTCGCCCTCTGCATCGGCGTCGGCATCCGCATCGGCGTCGACGTCCATCTGGTTCTCGGCGTCCTCCATGTCGACGTCCTCGTCGTTGGTGCCCTTGGCCTCAATCGAGTCGCGCACCTCGATTGACTTCTCGTCGGTCTTTGGCGCCATCTTGCCTGCGCCGGAGCACCCGCTTGCAACCTGGATATCGAGATCTTGGAAGCTGGGGTCTGAAATCGTGGCGTCTGAATCGTCGTCCGAAGCGGTTTTCTCAGAACTGCTGCGCGACGCGTCTATTGGGCCTCGGGTCCCCCCTGCTGCCGTACTCCAAGAGAAAAGCTTCGGTTGCGGCATTGCTAGCTGGCAGGTCACGTGTAGCTCCAAAGAGCTAGGTCCAGCCAGAATGGTCCGTGCGTTGGCGCTTTCGGCCCAAGTGTTGGCTTGGATGCGATTATGTCAGTGAGTGACGGCTTGGGTGGATCAAGGAGAGAGATGCAATATAATCGCCAAGCTGAGTCAATGAACTGTGCTGAGAGCCAGTGGCTTTTTTGTTGCAAGATCTAAAGTCCATCGAGGTGAGTTTGTTTGCCAACCCTGAAAGAAGCACAGGATGAGTGACTGAAGAGCGGTAGACGACTTACATGGATCTGGGTTTTGATACATCCACAACGGTGATCACCAAGCAGAGCAACAGAACCAAGGATCAAAGACAGCAACCTAAAGACTTGGAAGAAGTCAAAAAGAGTTTTGTCTGTTGAAGACTGTGTAGTGGTCTTGTGAACTCTTATTTGTGCTGCTTGTGAAGATAAATGGTCACTTGGGGGTACCCGCCCCGTCCTATGCGCGCAGCCACCTTCACGCAACTAACCAGCGTTATGCGTCTATAAAGCGAGGGGTAATCTAGGACATTCTACTTTGGAAGATTTTTTCAAAGCTCAATTCTCATTGAGACAAAGATCTTAAATCTCAGACAACCTCAAATTTCCACATCAGGTGGGAGCAGCAGCATCACATCTGCCATCGCTCAAGCCTTTTCAGGGGTTGAGAAAAGCTGCACAATGGCAGAGGTACGCTTCCGAGTCCGAGGCCCCGACTGGACCGAGACTGTCAGTCTGGCCGAGGACAAGACCTTTGAGGAGCTCGAGCAATGGATCACTGCCAAGCGCGACGTCAAGGATTTCCAACTCAAGTACGGATTTCCCCCGAAGACCATCGACTCGACCGCGAAGGGAGTCACCCTGAAGGAGCTCAAGCTCAAGGGCGAGACTCTGACCCTCGTCCCAGCCCAGTCTACTTCATCCGCAGGGTCGGGAAGCTCTACAGCTACCTCACAGCCTCCGATCGCGATGCCCGCTCCTCAGCGAGCAGAGAGCTTCAAACCCAAGCCAGTCGATGCGGAAGACAGCGATCTGGAGTGGCCCGATAGAAAGGGCTATCTTGGTCAGTTTACATGGGTCATAATTTTCAACAACGCTAATATTTCCTAGTTCTTCGTGTCATGCCTGACGACAACTCCTGCCTGTTCACCGCATTCGGTGGCGTCATACCTCTGGAGGACCCTGCTGCCGTGTTGCGGCAGAAGGTTGCAAACTACATTCTTGAGCACAAGGACAAATACAATAAGGTTGTCTTGGAGGATGATCCTGAGATCTACGCTCGGAGAATCCAGCAGCCTGAGAATTGGGGAGGTGCTATTGAACTCGGTATCCTGTCAGATATCTACAACATTGAGATCTGCTCTATTGACGTCAAGGTAAGAGGCATGCTTCATCTGTGTTTATGAGTTCACGTTCCTGATCATGTCATATTAGACTCTCCGCGTAGACCGTTTCGGAGAGCGCAAAGGCGAGAGATGCATACTCGTGTATTCGGGTATTCACTACGATCGCATTGCGTACACCTCGGCACTGGATCTGCCCGTTGAGTATGATGTGGTGAAGTGGCCCACCGACGACGAGAAGGTCGTCGAGAAGGCGCGCGAGGTGTGCAAGAAATTGCAGGAGAAGCACTATTTCACCGATGTTCACGATATGGTGACCCAGTGCAAGGTTCCTGGCTGTGGCTGGATTGGTCAAGGACAGAAGTCTATCTTGGATCATACGAAGACGACAGGTCATTCTTCGTTTGGCGAGCTGTTGCTCGACGGATAGGCGTGGTTGAAACTATCATAGCTACGAGCAGTCATAGCACATGAGGAACGGCATGATACGATTGACGTCGACGTACAGCATAGCATCCTTTAGCTCATTACATGGAATAGCCATAACGTTCAGGGCCAGTGGTCCCTTCACGTGCTCAAGATCCAATGACAACCTCCTTAACCATATCCTTGGTGGTCTTAAAGGTCAAACCGCCACCAAAACTATGCTCACTGTTTTCGCCTCCTTGGGTCACCTTGCCTTCAGTCACGCCAGTCTCGTACGCACACGTACCCATGTCTAGCTGTTTTGCTGGGCCAGTAGGAGCAATATCAAAATCGAAAATATCCATAGGAAGTCCTATAACACTGTCAGCGGATTTTCTATCATTTGGCAAAGGGGACAGCTACCAATTGTTGTGCAGGCATTGGGAATATCTACTATACCCGCCACATGCCCCTGAATAGGGGCACACGACATGAGCAAATAGGACTGATAATCACTGTAGCCAAACCGGCGGAGGTATTCGATAACACCTGTAGAACAATCATTATGACAGGGTTCTATCGATCGCTCAGATGCACTTACGCAATGAAGTCTGCCGATAGGCAACTGTCACATCCATGTAGTGTTGCTTGCCATGCTCATCGACACTGAACCCCTCGAAGTAGATGTGACGTCCTGGACCAAACTGAGGCTCGACAGGGCCAGGGATGTAAATGGGTGACTTGAGACCAAGATCAGCCATGCCATTCTTGATCACCTTGAAGTTGATCGTAATGATGCCAGCCATCTCGATGGCGCCACAGAAAGAGATCTCGCCATCACCCTCTGTTGAAGCGGTCAGTCTTACATATTCACATCTCCTCGGTGGCAGAGTATTTACTTACGAGAGAAGTGCAGATCACCAACACTGAACTTGGCACCATCGACGTGCACCGGCAAGTATACTTTGCTACCTCTGCTAAGGTTCTTGATGCTATGGGTGAGTTAGCCATACTATTTCTTGGAAAGTCGTGTGCAAGGTACTCAGGTGAAAACTCACTCGCAATTCCCGCCATGCTCTGGTCTTCCCGGGATGGTTCTCGCGCCCTCTTTTCCGACTTTGGTCTTCAGTTCCTCATCGGCGCTTCCGGCATGCACGCTGATCGGCTGTGGTGGCAGGGCCACATCTCGCTCCAGCTTGTTTGCGGATATGAGCTCGGCCTCTCGCTTGTTCCAGGTGGCCAAGACTTCTGGAGACGGCGCACATCCCAGAATTCCAGGATGGATCAAGCCGGCAAACTTAACGTGGGGAATATGTCGGGACGAACAAAAGATTCCCTCAAAATCCCAGATCGCTTTGGCACTGTAAGATGTTGTTAGTTGCGCTCTCGAGTTCTATGTATGCTCCTCCTTTCTATCCAGGATGTGTGTATCGGAACTGCCATCCTATGTCTCCCTACAGGGTGGACGAGCGATGCAGTGAGATACAATAAAAATGGCAGACTTACGCGGAAGGGTAGATCTCATCCAAGAAGCCACCGCCATTGGTCTTATCAAAGACGCCTGTAAAGCCCCATGGCTGGTCTTGAAATGGCTGTACATCCATGATTTCAACAAGCAAAAGATCGCCAGGCTTGGCGCCTTCGACCTCGAACGGGCCACTGAGGTAATGGACTTTGGTCAAGTCCACGTTTTTGACATCATCAGCAGAGTCGTTGTTCCCAATCTGGCCGCCGGTCCTGCATATTGTCAGCCCCTTGGCCACTTATACGGGTGACCCCGAGCATACCAGTCAAGACACTCGATTTTGACGGTCTCCCCGTCCTTGATAGTGCCAGCGAAGGGAACTTAGTCCAGTTAGCGTCAACTTCTATTTCCAAGGATGGCCGGGTGAAGCATACTGTCAGGATGCCATCTGTTCTGCAAGATGTGTCAATTGATGTTCGTGCCACGCATCTAAGGACCGACTTACATGAAGGTAAGGCTGCTCCGCAGCAGGAGTGTCGAAGTCGACTTTACACACGGTCCGAATTGCACCAGGCATTGTCACAGTATGAATACAACAAGTCTTCGAAGTAAGTATGAATCTGACACAATTCTTGACTCTTGTGCTCTCACGAAAATCACAAGCTGGTAAGTGAAGTCTAATCAACACCTCAAGGCAGCCGATCACTGCTATATATCTCACTATCTCACTATGGAGCTACCCCGCACAGCTCACAGACTCCCAAGGCGTGGCCAAGTAGTAATTGAAGGACGTATCACACCCGTGGACCTCGCTATCAATGGCATTGAAGTGGTAGCTGCCAGCGAGGGTGTGTAGTTGCGCGAAGCTTATCAACGGCGTTGGTGCAGCTTGCAGCTCGCGCGTCAGGAGCCCGCGCCGGCCACCCCCGCTCTGCAGGTGCGGCTTCAGCACTGTCTGGAGCCAATTGATAAGGGATGCTCCAGTGGCATGTCGATCCAATACGGCAGTGCTATCCGCAGTGCCAATCAACTTAAGACGTAATGGATTCTGCAGCTTCTGACGGACGGAAATATCAGATCTCGGCATCTAAAATACCGGCTCCTAATCACTAGCATTGATTTGGGAATGATGTGCCAGGTGTGCTGAATTTGACTACGCCGATAATGATTCCAACATAACTTTTGCTCTCAGTGCCCCTTTTGATATACCATTCCCTTCCACCTTTACCGAACCTGCACTGATGAAGACGAGCCTGAAGCTCTTGGGTTTGGATCCTGCTCTTGATATGGCGGCGGCTTGTCATGAATCTTGTCCATGTTGGCCAGTGACAAGCTCAAGAACTCATGCTTGGTTCTCCACTCCTGCTGGCTTGCAGTAAAGCCAGTGCTCTCAGATGGCGGCGGCGGAGGATCGGTGACCTTTGTGATGAGATACGCCGTGGAAGCCTCGGCAATGCCATAGATCAAGACGCCCAAGAGTGGCACACGGAGCAATACGTAGAAGCCAATGCCAAAGCCAAACAAGACCCCCTCGCGATTATGGAACCAAGCACGCTTCTCCTGCTTGCTGAAGTGTATGCGGGCGAAATAAGGCTCGAGAAGCTCACGCATCAAGCTTCGGGAGGCGAAGTAGCTCTGGAGGAAGATGACAAGGTAACGTCGTGGAAGGAAAATGCCAGTTCCGAAGATGAGAGAGGCCGGACCTAGGCCAACAGCCTTGTTGAAGGTGTAGAAACTAGCGGCAGGTAGGACTAGGCGACCGACAATCGGGACATATGACAGGGCGAAGATGGCAAGTGAGATGGCAGCCTTTCGTCCAAATCTCCAGAGGAACATGGTCATAGCCTCAGCGGTGCTGGTCGAGTGGGTGCTGCCATCTCGAGTGGAATACTGGCGTAGATTCGGATAGTACATGTTCCGCAGCTTGTTGGGGTCCTCGTTCTTGTGCTTCTGGACATAGGTCACGTCTACCCACCGCAACGACTCCATGAACCTGTCTCAAATTAGCCATGCATTCAGTGGTTAGCAAAAGAATAGTTCATACAGGTTGTCCAGTGTTGGAGTGGCATAGCGCATCAGCGTCATAAGAAACAACGGCACCTGCAGCACATATTCTTCGATGAAGTGCAAGCCATCAATGATCTTGTCATCCCAAGTTACCGTATCGAGGCGGAAAAAGAGAGAGATGAACCACAGGAGAACGCGGATCCCGATGATCTGGACTTCCTGTAAGCACGTGGCAGCGACTTGGGTACTGGGATACATACAGGGACGGCTATGGCAACGCGGATGGCGACACCAGAGGCCACAGCTATGATGGCCTGTCTGTAATGCTCGGAGGTGAAGATACCGGGATTCTGGAGAGCCCTGTGAGCTGCAGATATCGACGATCATCAGTGCCAAGCCCGCGTGTGATATACTGTACTCTAGAACAGATCTGCTCACCTCCGACAAGAGTCAACTGGATGCCCCGCAGCACCGCATTGATGTCGAAGTGGGAGACGTCGAAGGCCTTTTTGAGCTTCTCCTTGTCGATCTCGACCGGGATACGCGGGACCTGATGCTCTGAGCTCGACATGGTGCCCAGAGTGCTGAATGATGTTTGTTTGGGGAGGATGCAGGGCTTTGTCTGAGGCTCTCCCCCCAGACCTGGCTGGCTGTACTGTCAATTAAAGGGCAGGCAGGCAGCAGATGCACAGCTCGAGAAATGATGTCACTGAGACACGAATCACTTAGGTAAGCTCAGCTGTGGTCAGAGCTCCCACTCCACTGCCTTATTTAGCTACCGCTTGTACTGTGTATTCGTTGACTGAAGGACCCAACCGTGTCGGGCTACAAAACGCACTCTAATTGACCTATAGCTGAACCAGGCATAACCTTCAGGCAAGGCAGCCCCTGAATCTATATTAAATTGGGCGTGGACTTTCGGTATCTCGGCCGCTACTACCATGATATCTCTCCAATTATTCCCCGAAAGTGTCATGGGAGACCTGGAGCTGTTGGGAGCTATGACCACGATCATTGGCACTGCAAAACAGCAAGTTCAAGTGACAAAAATGAGGACGAATCCGATAAGGCGACGGCCGGAAGTGCAAATGCTAGTTGGTTGAGTGCGCGTCGCCGTCGTCCTTCCAACCGTAACTGATTGTGACTAAGCCCTGTTGGGCGGCCGGTGGTCACCTAAGTCCGCTGTGGCTACAGCGGCCCGCCCACTGGTCAATATTATCAATTCCTCAGCACAGCTTTAGTGCACATCCATCTCAATCCAGCACGCGCTTTGCTTCCTCCTGGTCCTGGTTCGTGCGCCTCGCCTCGCTTCCGCCAGCCAGCCTCTTGATCCGCCGCCGCCGCGATCCGAGTGCCTCTAGAAAGCCGATCGGCGCTTTCAATTTTCGCGTCGTCTCTCTTCGCATCCAGATCCATCGTTCTCGAGATCTTCCCAAAGAGCCGCCTCGTCTTATCGGCATTGGCCTTCTACTGCCGAATCTGCCGTTGCTTGCCGCTGTGCTCTTTGTTATCGTCCGACCTCGGGTCAGCGAGAAGCATCCATGAACTGATATCCCAGCATCCTGAGACGGCCCACGACGCATCCCGGCACCATCTGGCCGGCTATCGACATGCTGGCACCTGCCACTCCGGTAACGATACCGAGATGCTTTACGATCTGAATACTTTCTCCAAGTGTTGCCGCTGTTGCTATTCTGTGAAAACCTCAGAGTAAGACAGCATCATGGAGTATCGACGGCCTCCCGGCCTGGCGGCGCTCTCGACGCCAAGGCGCTCGGCGACTGTCCCAACCTCTTTTCAACCACAGCCAGACCGATCAGTGTCGAGACCAATCACCAACGACTCGGTAGAGACCCTTTACAACCACCCATCCGTGAAGATTGTCGCCTTCACCGCAGGCTCACGGCCAACACCCCTGAGCCCAGGGCGGGGTATTCTCTCTCCAGCTGAGATAGAGCCCGGCAGTCTGTCGTGGTCCTCACAGTTGGAGAGAACTATCGCTGTCGGTATGTTATGCGGTATCTGGCGGACTAGTCTGTAGATTTCGCTAACGTTATTCTTCCTAGGTGCTTTTCAAATCTACAGAGCTCCGGGCTCAGTTGCCTTTCTGCGTTGTGGCTCGGCGCTCCAACCCATCTTACCCAAGAGCCAATGTTGGTGTATCGACGAGCAGTCCAGCAAGTTCGTTCTACAAATAAGACGGCCGAACTTCTGGAGGATAGAGGTGCCGGTTGGCGAGGATGAGGACATCAGGAGAGCTCTTTTGCTACGAGATGTGCTCGATCAGATCCTGCAATTCGAGAAAACGCCATGTCCGTTCGCAAGGACGTTTACGGTGGAGTTGCCAGAGAGACCGCAAACTCCAGTGAAGAAGCGGCCCTGGACTCCGCGTAAATCATCTTCCCAATGGCCGCCAAGTCCGATCACACCGGTGGACATGACCCCGCGGCCAGCAGTTCTCCGTCGAGAGTCGCTAGGTTTGATCCAGCCACATAAGGTGGAAGAACCTTCAGCTGTGGACGATCTTACTTCTACGGAACCGGAAACTCCACAGATGGTCGACAAGACACAAGAGGAGGTTGCTAATGGGCCAGTTCAACAGGATGTGGTCAGCGATGCCAAGTCGGTGACTGCGGAAGATGATGGGGTATCGCCCCAAATTGAGCCAGATGTTGTCGACTTGCCTGAAGAGCAAGACCAGGTCGATGAAAGTTCGAAGGTCGAATCTGAGCCAGAAGAGGTCCTAGAAGAGGTCTCAGAAGAGGTCCCAGGAAAGGGATCTATAGTATTAACCCCTATCTCGACAGAAGAGGAGCCCAGTCCACTTGAACAAGTCTCACAACCGGAGGTCGAGGTCATCGAAGTGAGGCCAGTGCCTACCCAAAGGGTCTCAACCTTGAGATTTCTACAAAAGCCAGAGACCACAGTGCCACCTAAGCAGAACGAGTCGCCAAAGAAGCCGCATCAGCCAGAACAGCAGGAGTTTGAGAAAGCCACGCCGTCACAGACTCTGCAAAGCACAGATCTTCAGCCCAGGATACGAAGTGATCTGAGCATAGCAGATCCAGAAGAGTCGAGTGAATCCGTATCAAAAGCAGACGTATTCGAGACTGAGCCTCCCGCTGAAGACGAGATTCGGAACGACTCATTCGAAGGTGCTGGTCTCATGCGGGTGAGAAAGGGCCGTATCACCAGCTTCGCATCAAGACGAGCGGTCACTGCACCACCACAACTTACGCTCTTCACATCACCACCATCAAAGTCTGCGCCGAAGCCTGCTGCCATTACAGAAGAGCCAATGGAGCCAGCAGAACCCGTTGAGGCCCATTCACCGACAGAGTCGTCAGACTCCTTCCACAGCGTACAATCGTGGCACTCGCCCATCACTCCTCTTCCCCCATCTCCGCCACCGTCAAACCCCAGCTCTCCAACGCCAACCCGCTTCCCATATCCACACGAAAATGTTATCATCGCACGGACCACTCATCAGAGAGACACCTCTGAATCGACGGTTACCCCTGATACTCAGCGAGCTTGGGATAATTGCTCTGTAGGCGGAACCGATCCTTCTAGTGCTATCCCAGGCCTGCCGTCTCCTCAAGATACCGAGGCGGTCAGTGAGAGGAGTGGTTCAGACAGCGGAGGCTCGCTCGAAAAATTCGAGACCGCACCCCAGGAATCTACTACCTCGCCCAAAGATGTCTCGTCCACGACCTTAGAGTCACACGAAGCCTCACCTGCTCAGGGAACATCGACAGCTGTAGCGCGCCGTGGGTCTATCCGGCACCGAGCCACGACGTCCATGTCTGTGTCACATCATCGAGCATTATCACCACTGCCACCTGCAGCAAACCTCTTCACTCCGCGCGCTCCTCGGCGGTTCAACACACCCTCCCGGGCCAACAATAGGCTCCAGGCTATCCGGCGCATCCCCAGCGCGGTCATCCACAAGACCTGCGAGATCCTCCTCGCCCCACCATCGCACCTTATCAACATCATGCTCAAGGTCGCAGCGCGTATCGCCGCCGGCGAATGGCGAGGCTTCGTCTTCGGCACAGGAGACGAGGGCGAGCGTGTAGACGTCCGGTGGGACTGGAGCGACACCGAAGACGGTGCGCTCGAGGGCTGGGAAGAGAGCGATTTCGACTTCGACAGCCCCGGCCGAGGAAGGACGCCGAGCAGCGCCAGCGCCAACTCCGGCAAGAGCCAGAGCAAGGCCAAGGGCAAGGAGCCCGCCACCGAGAGCCAGGAAGACGAGGCGGACCCGTGGAAGACGCCCACGGAGGAACTCGGCAGCGACGACTGGTCCCGCAGCTGGGGCGTCGACTAGAAGGTCCGCGACGGCTTTTCCAGCTTCTGGAGACCCAGTCTGTTTGGGGTCTTCCCGCCATAGTTGTAACCTATTGACGCACCAAACACCACACCACACCACACCACACATTACCGCACTACTTGTAGAAATATCTGTATCATCATCACTATTATCAACGGGCCGGGGCCTCGTCGACCCCTGCGACACGGCAAGGGGCGGACACACGATCACTCACACATTTGAGACGGCGTTGGGAGAGGAGAAGGTCGGCCAAGCACGGTTTATTGGCAGGCATTCCATTGTCTCCGGGAGGCTTCTTTCATGGATGAGGTCTGGAACAGCATGTATTGTTTTCTTCCCCGATAATGAGACACATTCGGCATGGTTCAAGGAGGCAGGACGCGTCCTACTAGGCCAGGCAGGTAGCACCTCTTTCGAAGCAGAGCTTACGAATGATGACAAGGCATATTTACATTTATAATCTGCTTTTGAGTAGACGAGACCGTATTCTTGCAAGATTTGCAACTTTTGAATTCAATGAGCCTTGAGACGCCTTAATCCATGTGACATAGAGTCATTCCAAGACCGTCTTGGCTAGGGTACATGAGTAGTGTGTGGGCTCATAATCACCCCTTGAAGCCAGCAACCACCTTTTGACGTTGTGACTGTCCGAGCCCACCTCCAGAGCATCGTTGATAACAACCCCACATCTACGTCCCTCTCAGAGAATAACTCCGTCGTCCTCTCAAGGTCAAGTCCTTCGCTCTCAAATTCATTTCAATGGATCTGATTACGAAGGAAGCACCGCCATTGGTGGTGCACAGGAGGCCAGATTGCGTCACCCAAGACATGCCACGGAGAACGCAGGATTCTCTCGACACAGTCCATATCAGCCCTGTGCCTCACTTCACCTCCTAGCGTCAATGCTGGCCCTCGAGCTATCAAGGCTTGGTCGCATAGAGCTGCTTGAGCTCCTGCGCCTCCTGGCGCGCTGCTCGCCCGGATCTGAAGGGTGTAGGCCGGAAGATTTAGCAAAGAGGTTGAGGATGTCTGTCAGTGATACCACTCCTGTTAATCTCCCCGACAGGCGAGCGCCCGGCATGGCAGCCGCCGGCACTGAGCCGAACGATTGAGCGCCAGTCGGTAAGGGAGACGGTGGCGCCGAGCCGGAGCTGCTTGAGGAGACGAGGACTGCGGTTCCGCCTCCTGATCCGGTCGTTGCAGCTGCTGCGCCGCCCGCGGATGTCTGCATACTTGTCGCGCCGACAGGCGCAAGCAGTGGTGTTGCTGGGGCACTGGGGCTGGGACTGGCACTCTCGACAACCCACATCCTGTGGCTGTTGGTAGCGACTAGCTTGGCGACTGTGTGAGCCAGGGTGGAATAGGGGTTGACATAGAACACCGGGAAAGAGTCGCGGCCCTTCTCAACGCCCCGCTCAGTAAGAATAACGGAAATGAAGTGCATGCAAGTCGACTGCAATAGTGGCAAAGAGGCTGCGTTCGTGAGATGTCGAACGTCGGCTGTGGATATATTACCGACGACGTTTAGGCCATTATCGACAACAGCCACCGATGTAAGACCTTCGTTGGACATGAGGGTCAAGGCCTCGGCCAGCGGAGCGTCCGCGCTGCATCAGTGTCAGCAAATCGTCAGATTTGAACCAAGTATCTAAGGCTTCTCACTTGATTGCGATAATCTGCTGGGTTCCGACATGAAGATCCTTCAACGGTGCCCCATAAAGACGATCAATCATTGGAAAGTGGAGGCGCTCGTTCCAAAAGAATTCCAGAACCTTGAGTTGGCTCAGAATCCCAAGCACTTCCGAATCAGGATTGGTTATCAGCACCCGATGGATGCCGCTGCCGAATACCTCAATAGCCCGTGTGAGGTATTCATCAGGAGTCAGTGCGATAAGTTCCTCCTTGCGGAGAATCTGCTGGATGTCGCGGAGCGGGATTGGCTGTCTCTCTTGGGCACGTTTCGCGATCGAATCATAGAGCTGTATGTGTTCCTCATCGGGCTTTGCAAGGCCAACCACCACGAGGAGGTAGGCATTGAGATCATTGTGGTCGAACGTAGAGATAGCCTTCTTGTCGGAGGAGGTTTCGCGCACAAGGACGAGGTTGGATGGGGAGTTCTTGAGCAATGCCTGTACACATGTAAGTCATGATAGGATATTTCGGAGGGTTTGAAGGCGGCTCACCATGGTGGCCTCCTCCACGCTCGTGTCTAAGTCCACCCAATGCACATCATCCTGCGATACCAGCTCCCCAAGCTGTACGTCCCTCCAGTCTCGGTTGGCAAAGCGCGGATCTGGTTGTCTGTTTGGGGGTGGTTTGTTCAGAAGCTCCTGGACGGCGGCTTGGGTAAACGAGGGATGGCGCTGTGCGCGCGGGGATGGCGGGGGATTTCGAAGGTTTTCCGCGAAGCTCTGGCGATGAGAGTGCACACCTTTGGTCAGAGACGATTGAGAGGGAGATCGTGCAACGGGAGGAGGCGACGGGATAGTATTCGGGGCGTTGCCGTTGTCGCTGCCAGCAAGTTTGCCCTGCGTGGCGGGAAAGGGTTCCATTGTCGTGATGTTGTCCCAGATGACGTGCGGGATGGTATCGTAGATCTAGACGTTCCCTTTGATGATGACGATTCAATTTTAAGAGGGCGGAGCACGGCTACTCAGGGGAGGTCTGCGTAATAGAAGTTCGTTCTTTGTTTCGTCTTTGCTAAGGCAGCTGAGGAGAAAAGACACTGGAGGATAGGAAGCTATGAAGATACGACTACGAAGGCATTGTTGCAAGGTGAGCGAACGGGAAGGAAGGAGCTACCGACCGACCTTGAGGTTAGGAATAGGAAGTACGAGGGCGCATGATGAATGTGGGGTGCTTGTCGAGGTCTGGCCTGGCACGTTAGCTCAGCGCCTAGCCTAGCCACTGCTAGCCTACAGAGTGCATCTGGCCTGTCTCCTGTCCATCGCCGGAACCGACAGCGAGGGGCTGAGCTACCTTATTACAGAGACAGGAGGCAGGCGAGGCAGGTATGGAGGGGCCCGACTGGGCGGTGGGTGGCCAGACATTTTGCCTGCAGGGATGAGGCCTTCTAGCGCAAGACATGCCACCTTCAAACCAAACCACAGACGGCGATCTTGCGCATCGACATCGACCAGCAGCAACAGACAGATCGCTCTACTGCTCTACCGGTAATCCAGAAAGGCAGGCAGTGTGCGATGCCTTACGCGACCGACATTCAGGGGCTGCAAAAAGCAGGAACCTGGGCAAAAAGCAACGATCATATCACGCCAGCCCGGACGGAAAGTGTACGTCCAGGAGTCCGTCGCAGGCCGAGAGCGAACATCGAAGCCCGGCCTGTCACCTGTCACACTATCGACCGACCACCTGACCTGCGCTCGAGATACAACTTAAACCTGGGTAGCAAGCGCGTGCAAAGGTAAGTAAAGAATGTGGCTCGGTGGGAGATATGCCAGGAGAGATGCTTGGCAGCAATTCGGCAATGCCAGCTGAGCATTGTAAATATACCGGTAGATCAACATGATGGTGATGGTCATATGAAGTCAAAACGGCCAGTGGTTCTCGACGTGTTATCGCATCGAGATCTTCTCAGGTTGTCAGTGTTACTCCCGATAAGAAAGTGTGCCGGGCTCGTTATCTTTCTCTTTCTCTTCTCTACCATGATTTGGCTACTAGGTAGCTAGACCAGCCAAGAATGCGCTTTCGTGATGTGACGCTATCGCATGTCCCGCCATCATCAGGTATAAACTGTTAGCCAGCTATCTCAGCCTAGGTGGCACTTGTATCATGTGAAAACTCGCCAGCCTTTCTTGTACAGCAATGTCTGAGATGAACGGTCCATTCCGTATGATGTGAAAAGTACTGTAGTAGAGTGGACTATCCAGCCTGTGATACCCCTACCTTGACCTTGATACATGTACCATGCAGTACGTGGCTGCTGCTGCGGTGCCAGGGTCGGGCGCCAATCTCAGGCATATTTCCTTCCGTCAAGGATGATTTGGAAGGACCTACATGTAGAAGCGAAGCAGATGGGATGGATGATCCGGATTGGCCTTGTAGCCAGTTAGCCTGGAATTGCCAACGAACCTGTGGGCACAATTTATTTTGCCCTGCCCAACCTGGAAGTCCCTGCACATGGGGTGCGGCTTCTGTTCTGGCCGATGAAGACTATCACAAAGCCATTGTTCTTGATGGCAATGAAGTGATGGTGGTGGTAGTTGCATTGATATATGTTAGATATCGTCAAATTTCCGTGCATCGCTAGATGTGTACAAACATCTGGCATTGTGCTGCTGGTTGTGGTTCGATGGAACTGGCAAAGTGTAAGAGGACAAGACAGCGAAGGGAAGTGAATGATTTGGTGTGCCTCTCTGTGTGTACCTGGACACTACATGCATATTTGAGCTTCAAGACAAGTACCTCCCTCATTGTAAAGCCGATTATAAGTCATCCTTGAGTGTTGACACTTTCTTTCCCCTGGCTTCCCAGTTCTGTCTCTACTGTAACTACCTATGCCGGTGTGCAAGGTAGCTGGGTACGTAGATACTTAGTACTTAGTACCTGAAGGTGGATTGACAAGGCTTGCCTTAATCCAAACCCTCCCGCTGGCGGCCTGCTCCACGTCAGTCCTCCCCTCCTCTACCGATTGTTTTTTTGTGAGAAAGACCCCCGCCTTTTTTTGGTCTGCCACCACACCGCGCCTGCAAAATCTCGACACGCGTTGTCGTTGTCGTTGTCGCTGTCGCTGTCGCGGACCGCTACAACCTTCTTGCATCCATCCTTTCAGTACTATCTGGGCCGACCCTGTCACAAGGCGCTGCACCCAAGACGACGACATCATCTCCTTTGCTTCGCGTTGTGTTGAGCGCTGCGGCGCCACCAGTATTCCTATCACTTCTGGATCAACGACCGTCGCTCATTCAGAGGGCAGGTATGTGTGCCGTTACCTGCGAATTGCCAAGGGTCCCGTTCTCATTCTCATTGTTCTGCCGGCTAAGATCCCTCCCGTTTGGTTTAGACATAAGGTCATAAGGTCTTGACCGTCTATTCTACTGCGCATACGAGACGAGAAGACATTGCTAGAACCGTCCCCAAAATGTCGATGCTTCCGGCCGACGTTACGGCAGAGCTTGCCCAGCTCCTGCAGGCTCTGCAATCGGCCGACAACAGCATTCGCTCCCAGGCCGAGGAGCACTTGACGACCAACTGGACCAATACACGACCCGAGGTCCTCCTGATGGGCCTGGTCGAGCAGATTGGCGGCTCAACAGATGCTGCGGTATGTTGCACGCACACTCCTCCGCTCTGACGAGATAGGGGAGCCCCTGAAGTACACTGTCGATTGCTGATGGGATAATCTTGGCTCCAGATCCGATCCTTCGCTTCTGTCATCTTCCGCAGAATTGGTTCCAAGGTTCGCAAGAATGAGCGCGGCGAAAACGTGGACATGTTCATTTCTTTATCCAAGGACCAGGCAGCCGTCATAAGAGGGAAGCTCCTCGAGACGCTCGTCAACGAAGCTGATCGCACAGTAAGGAACAAGATCAGCGATGCTGTCGCGGAAGTTGCAAGACAATACACAGAGAACAGTGCGTCGCATCTCCCGTTTCGATCAACCCCCTCTCGAGACACAATCCAATGTTAATTTATGATCATAGACGACACATGGCCTGAGCTGCTGGGCGTGCTTTTCCAGCTGAGCATTGCTCCAGATGTCGGAAAGCGAGAGACTGCGTATCGTGTCTTCACCACTACGCCTGGGATCATCGAGAAACAGCACGAGGAGGCAGTTGCTCAGGCTTTCACCAGAGGCTTCAAGGATGAGGCAGTCGGAGTATGTTCTACTCCAAATTACACTATCAAGTCAGGAGCTAATACCATCCATAGGTTCGTCTTGCAGCAATGGAGGCATTCGCTGCTTTCTTCAGGAGCTTGGGCAAGAAGAGCCAGGCCAAATATTATGTCCTCATCCCCGAGGTTCTCAACATCCTTCCGCCAATCAAGGATTCGCAAGATTCCGACGATCTCAGCAAGGCTCTCGTTGCCCTTATTGATCTGGCCGAAACTGCGCCGAAGATGTTCAAATCCCTTTTCCACAACTTGGTGCAATTCAGTGTCTCTGTTGTTCAGGACAAGGAGCTTAGTGATGTGTGCCGTCAGAATGCTCTCGAGCTCATGGCCACCTTCGCCGACTATGCTCCCTCTATGTGCAAGAAAGATAGCACTTACACCAACGATATGATCACCCAATGTCTAAGCCTTATGACCGATTTAGGCGAGGATGACGATGATGCTGCCGAATGGCTCGCTTCTGACGATGTAGGTTTCTCCTCTCTCAAAGTCAAAATTGACCCTCTAACATTCTCATAGCTTGACCAAGAGGAGAGCGATCAGAATCATGTTGCCGGTGAGCAATGCATGGATCGTCTTGCCAACAAGCTGGGTGGCCAAACGATTCTTCCGCCTACTTTCAATTGGCTCCCACGTATGATGACGTCCATGGCCTGGCGTGATCGTCACGCTGCCCTAATGGCTATCTCAGCCATCTCCGAAGGCTGCCGGGAGCTAATGGTTGGTGAGCTCCAGCAAGTTCTTGATCTTGTTGTACCTGCCCTCAAGGACCCCCATCCCCGTGTGCGTTGGGCGGGCTGCAATGCTCTGGGTCAGATGAGCACCGACTTTGCGCCGACAATGCAGAAGGATTACTACGACACGATTCTCAAGGCTCTGATTCCTGTACTCGAGTCGCCAGAGGCACGTGTCAAGTCTCATGCCGCCGCTGCTCTCGTCAACTTCTGCGAGGAGGCTGAGAAGAAGGTCCTCGAGCCTTACCTTGACGACCTCTTGACTCACTTGTTCCAGCTTCTTCAGAACGAGAAACGCTACGTCCAAGAACAAGCTCTTTCTACAATCGCCACCATCGCAGATGCCGCCGAAGATGCTTTCCGCAAGTACTACAACACGCTCATGCCACTGCTCGTTGGAGTTCTCCAGAGAGAAAACGAGAAAGAGTTCCGTCTTCTCCGCGCAAAGGCCATGGAGTGCGCGACTTTGATCGCGCTTGCTGTTGGCCGCGAGACACTTGGCAACGATGCTATGACGCTGGTGCAACTACTCGCCAACATCCAATCAAACATCACAGATCCTGACGATCCGCAAGCGCAGTACCTCATGCACTGCTGGGGTCGAATGTGCCGGGTCATGGAGGGTGACTTCCTTCCATTCCTGCCCAACGTCATGCCTCCTTTGCTAGAGCTGGCTAGCGCCAAGGCGGATATTCAGCTCTTGGACGACGATGATCAGGTTGAGCAGATTCAGCAGGAGGACGGCTGGGAGCTCGTGCCCGTAAAGGGTAAGATGATTGGCATCAGGACGAGCACAATGGATGACAAGCATATGGCTATTGAGCTGCTCGTGGTCTATGCTCAGGTTCTCAAGGGCGCCTTTGCTCCCTACGTCGCCGAGATCATGGAGAAGATCGCCATTCCAGGCCTTGCTTTCTTTTTTCACGATCCTGTACGGTACATATCCGCCAAGCTTGTACCGCAGCTTTTGAACTCATACAAGCTCAACTACGGTAACCCGTCGAATGAGCTGAGGGGTCTCTGGGCTGGTACCGTCGACAAACTCTTGGAGGTTCTAACGGCTGAGCCTGCAATTGATACCTTGGCAGAGATGTACCAGTGCTTTTACGAGTCTGTCGAGGTGCTTGGCAAGGATTGTCTGGCTCCGCAACATCTGGACAAGTTTATCGACTCAGTCCACACAGCTCTCGAAGACTACAAGGACAGAGTGGCCCAGCGGGCGGAAGATAGGGAGAGCACCAATCCCGAGGACGCCGAGGATGATGCTGAGGAGATTTTGATGGCCATCGAAGACGACCAGACTCTACTCTCTGATATGAACAAGGCTTTCCACTCCATCTTCAAGTACCACGGTGCAGCATTCCTAAGACCGTGGGAGCGATTGATGGGCACCTACGAAGGCTTCCTTCGCTCACAGGATCCAACCCAGCGCCAGTGGGGTCTGTGCATAATGGACGACGTTCTCGAGTATTGTGGTCCAGAATCCACACATTATGCAAACTACATCACTCAGCCTCTTATCGACGGGTGTCAGGATCCCTCGCCAGCCATCCGTCAAGCTGCGGCTTACGGTATTGGAGTGGCCGCCCATCGTGGTGGTGCTCCTTGGTCTCAGTTCCTCGGTGGCTCCATTCCATACCTGTTCCAGGCTACTCAAGTGCCTGATGCTCGCAGCGAGGACAACGTTTATGCGACGGAAAATGCTTCAGCCGCAATTGCAAAGATCCTGCACTACAACTCCGGTGCTGTCCAAAATCAGCAGGAGGTGATCGTCAACTGGATTAATACTCTACCCGTCACGAACGATGAGGAGGCAGCACCTTACGCATACGCCTTCCTGGCAGAGTTGATCGACAAGTAAGTCACCCAGCTCTTCACATAGCGACATCAAAACACTAATACGCTTCGTAGGCAAAATCCGGCTGTTCTAAGCCAGCCAGATAAGGTATTCGTCTACATTGCTCAAGGGCTCGAGGCAGATGCCCTTCAAGGTCAGACCGGCCAGCGCGTCGTGGCCGCCGCCAAGCTTCTCCTGACCGCATCGAATGTGAATCCTACGCCTCTTCTCCAGCAGTTTTCACCCGAGTCACAAGCACGCATCATGGCGTACTTCAGCTAAGGAGTGTGCGGATGGCTATCTTTGTTGGCGCAGATTTAAAAGGTCAAAATGCATGAAATGAGGAAAATCGTGGCCTGAAAAGGGGGCAATCTCGTATTGTGGACTGCACACAAAACAGTGCGAGATCAAGTATGATGACATGTGGGCGTGCCTTCATCGGTGGATGGATAGCAGTGATGGATGGATGGATGGGTGGATTGGATGATTGATTGATTGATTGATTATTACGTGCTCAGTTGCGACTGTTCTGATAGACTCATAGTTGAGCTGTGGAAGGAAAGAGACCTCTTGATGATACCACTACACTAGTACCGGAGATATAAGACACTACACTTCCCTCTGTTAACCTCAACCACTTGTTTGTGATGTCTGTGATGATAATATCAGTGATGCACAATCCGCCCTCCCCAAAAGTACAGCTTCGCCTCGGGACGCCGATGCTCTCATTTCTTATGCGACGTGACGCCTCCCTACCCTTTTCTATCCGCCTCCGACCAGTCTGACCGGTCACAATTGGGGGGGGGGCAGATGAGAGAAAGAAGAAAAAAGAAACAGAAGACGAATGAGCTCGAAACAAGCCCCTTGCGACACGGCGGCGGCAACTCGGCAGCCACATACGTTGTGTTCCACTGTGCGTCCTGTGCCTTTTCGTCTGCCGCTCTGGGCGCCACCGTCTTTTTGACCAGGTACGGACAGTGCCGCATCTGTGTTGCTATTCGCAAGCCAACCGGAGACCGCGCGCGCGTCGTAGCGAAGACAAGTGCTGAGCAGTGGGAAAAGATGTTTGCTTTTCTTCTTCTTCTCTTCTCTTCCTTTTGGACCCCATTACCCCTGATGCCCTCTCTAGCACTCACGGGCGTTTTCCTCTCGCATTAGCCGGCTGGGCTATCGACCAGGTTATCGGGAAAAGCCAGCCGGATGTGATTTAGAGTCAACACACAGGGTGAGACAGGCACAGGTGTCGGACGATGTCTTAGGTCTCACACTCTAAACAACAAACAATGGAGGAGGGGCGGAGAGGCTACGCGGCGTAAGGCATGGAGGGCACGGGGCAGGGCTAGAGAGGGCGAGGATTGGAGAAAGGCTAGATGCCTCGATGTCTTTCCACGAGGGTTGAGGGTCTCAGGGGGGAGAAGAGAGGCTCAGGAGGCTGGGGAGTCGAGGGGCTCCTGGAGGGGAAGATCGCAGCTGTCAGTTGCCATGCCGTGCCATGGTTTCCTTGTCTTTGTAGATCCCTTCACCCTCCTCCACGATGTACGTGCCCCTAACAACACGAGCGAGACGAAGAGATATTGCGGGCCAGTACGGCTCCGGGAAGCAAGCGAACGCCTATACGCTAACTATGCATCAACAAGGCAATGAGGAGCTGCACACGTTGAAGGAAAGATGAGAAGAGAGGAGAGAGAGAGACAAGCCCCTTGCCTGCTAGGGCACATCTCTCATCCATGCACTGGCTCGTGTAGGTGTCGATCCCACGACTAGCGAGCCGTGGTGTTGGCTCGCGGCTGGTACCAGCTGCGTACCGGTGGCAGCTTACTGCGCTTGTCTGGTACTAGCTGGGACGCCGGTGTCAGGATGGGAGAAAAGAAAATAGTGATAGCCGTGGTATCGCATTCTGCGCCCTGTCGCAGCAAATCGCATGTTTGCTCTGTATGTATGCCCAGGAGGTAGGGCGGTAGGGCAGAGCAGCCTTCCATTCCCTTTTGTTTTTGTATAGGATGAATTAAATCAACGCGAGCAAACAGCAGCCAGCACGTAAGCGGCTCTACCTTGACCTGTCTATCTTCTTACGATATGATGAAGTGTCGCATTGCACTGTGTGGTACTGATACTGACCTGGAATCAAAACGGAGGCTTCATTACGGTGTCTAGTGTTTCTATCCACCTTACCCAGCATCTCCTCACTTTTCTTCTCCTCCACCGCTTATTGGGTACCACCACCACAAGCACCACCCCCCGTCCCCTTCGGAAAGGACTAGGCGACATTACGTTACTTCACCATTCCATCTTAGTTTTGTCTCTTGGGAAAGAACCCTTCGTGCCTTGGACCTGCCGCCTCAATCCGCCTCAATCCGGTCTCTCGGCCGGTTTGAATCCATCTTCACTGTTTGGTCCGTCCGTCCGTCCGTGCCGACGTCCCACGGCTGGCTGGCTGGCTGGGTTGCTGCTGATAGACAGACGGGACGAGAACAAAGGTGTAGATGCAGATGCAGATGCA